AATTCACCTGTGCATTCCAAAATAATTGTATTGCTGGATTTACATGAAGTAAAAATTTCTAACACTTTACGGTGTGATCTAATCAGTCTTTGTTTATGATACCGAATCTGGAAACAAGCTAGAGTCTTTATGCTTTGTATCTGTAAGCACGTAATCTTTTATGGCGCAAAGATTTTTTAAATTGTGAAATCTGATGAATTGAATCATGTTTGTTCAAATCCAATACGAGAATTTTTTCAGGCGAAGTATCATATTTTGACCTATGCACGGTGTCTACGGCTACAACAGAGCATTAAGAATGATTTAACGTACCAACGCCTACTGCGACACGAGGCCTTGGTTTAAAAAGGTCTCATCCGGAGGAAACGTGATTTTCTCTTCTCTTAAAATCGGGTGTTTGTCCTGCTACCACAGCGTAAAGGATAATCGAACCTCTTAACCAGGAAACTATTGTCCTACCTATTACCTAGTGTGTTTAAAAATCAGTTATGAATATATTCAAAGATAATTCATTTTTTTAAAGAAACGCAAAATTAATCTCATGAATTCCATATTGAAGAATACAAAATGTTTAAGGAGAAGGGATAAGGTACATGGGAAGAAAAACCATCCATATGGACCATCGATTATTTAAATGGTGTTGATATCATTTATCTATTTTCTTAGCCTTGGACAGAAGAAAAACAAGATGTGTTTGTGAAACACTGATGCCCCCGTATGGCAACATTGTGAAGATTAAACTTTTCTTAGATGCAAATTTAATATATTGGTTCCCAAAGTAGGGTCTCCTAACTGGAAATACAATTGTAAAACATGAATGCCCTAGTATCACCATCTGTTCCCAAGTTATGGCAAGGCTAAAGTTTTTCATAAGTACAGAAATCTTCAAGATCAAGGTCAGAAGGTGAAGGTTATTGGTATCAATGAAAGGTCTTTCCACAAAGATCACATGTTTGAAGTACGGATGCCCTAGCTCTAACCATTCAAAAGTTATGGCCAAGGTTAAAAAAATTATATTAGTACGTTAAACTCCAAGATCAAGGTCAGAAGGTCAAGGTTTTTGGTATTGAATGAAAGCTCTTGTCACAAGAATTACATATGTGGAGTACGAAAGCCCTAGCCCTTACTCTTTAAAAGTTATTGCCAAGGTTAATGTTTTTTTCATAAGTCCGGAAATCTCCAAGGTCAAAAGGTCAAGGTTATTGGTATCCAATAAATGCTCTTGCTACAAAGAATATGTATGTGAAGTATGGAAGCTCTAGCCTTAACTGTTCAAAAGTTATGGCCAAGGTTAAGATATTTTAAAAGTAGGTCAAACTGTAAGGTCAAGGTCAAAGGTTTTGATATCAAATGAAAGGTCTTGTCACATGAGTTAAATATGTAAAGTATGAAAGCACTAGCTCTTATCCTTTAAAAGATATGATCAAGGTTTATTTTTTAAAAGTAGGTCAAACTCCAAGGTCAAAGGGTCAACGCTCTTAGTATCCATTGAAGCGTCTCCTTTCAAGGATTACATATGTGAAGTATGAAAGCTCTAGCCCTTACCTTTCAAAAATTATTGCCAAGGTTAAAGTTTTTCATTATTACGTAAATCTCCAAGGTCAAGGTCAAAAGGTCAAGATTGGTGATATCAAGTAAAAGGTCTTGCCACAAAGAATGTATATGTGAAGTATAAATGTCCTGGTATCTACTATTCAAAAGTTATGGCCAAAGTAAAAATTTGAATTTTTTGTGTAAAAGTGGGTCAAATTCCAAGGTCAAGGTCAAAAGGTCAAATTTGGTGGTACCCAAAGAAAGGCCTTGTCACAAGGAATACATATGTGAAATATGAAAGTCACAGCTCTACTAAAGCAAAAGTTATAGACAAGGTTAAAGTGTTTGCGGACAAACAGACAAACAGAGAGACAGACGGACACGACAAAAACTATATACCCCCGAAACTTCGTTTACCGGGGCATAACGAGTAAAGTAATTTAAAAATATTTTTGATTGTTCAATGTATGACCATTTATGCACGGAGTGACAAAAACATATAATCATATTTACCAAGGTAACTATTATTTCATCTGAACGAAATTAAAAAAAAAAACCGAACAAACATTTAGACATAACAATACAATTATTCATTATTTGCTTAAAGGTATTAATTTTTTACGAGTCACAAAATCATTGGTCCACAATTCAGACCACGATTTGAAACATATTCCCAATCGTAACAATAGGTGGAAATAGTGTAACTGTAAAGCGGAAAAGAATTTATTTATTAATAGAATGCATTTATGATTCTTTTGCTTTATAAATATGAACATTGAAATACAATTGTTACATATATATTTCGCAAAATATATATTAAAAAAAAAAAAAACAACACTATTATTCTAATTTGAAGTACCGGTATAAGGAGAAGCTGAACACTCTGACCAGATAAGGTTAAATAAATGGGACGAACACACTGACCAGACAAGGTTAAATAAATGGGACGGACAAGGTCCATTCATAGGCACTTTGACAAATGCATAAAGGTCAAGAACTCGTTAATCCGAATACCATATGTGTCCTCCTAATAATTTATGATAATTAGAAGTGGAAAGGTAAGTGCAGAAAAGTCGACAGGAAAATCTCCAGTACCATTAACATTAAATGTTTATAGTGTGAAAAATGAAGATAATGAACAGTAACCAAGATCAAAAGTCTTTTGAAACAATATGAAGTGGGAAAAAAGCAATCATGGACATTTTTAAACATTTATTGAAACAATCATTTGTTTTATTTACAATATTTTGCATTTATATTCATTATCCCTTGGATGTCTCCTTCTAAAAGTTATGTCATCGGTCCTTGGATCATGAAACATCTTAAGCTTAAGTCGCACTGTTTGTAGTATAATTAAATGTTGTTCAGGTAAAGCAGATCAAAATTAAAATATATTTTAATATTGATTCACCAAAGTGTTGTTATTTGCAAAATTTTGAGATTAATTTTATAGTTAATAAACATCTTACAGGCGATTGAAAATTTGACTTAAGTCTACATGTAATTCTCTTTCATGATCCTGGGGCCAGGTGATCCCAAACTTTTTAAATAGACCAATCAGAAATAATCTGTATTGTTTTCATTCTTTGCTAATCGGAGCTTCAATATTTGCGACCAGCGCCTTTAACCCTTCACCACACAATGTTTTAGTTCTAATTTGTAAAACACGTTGCTACCGTGTTTAATGCTCTTTTGTGTACCGTTTTGTTTTCCTATAATTTTTAACACATTGTGCTCTCTATTATTCACCATCTCCTTTGCTCTAATTTTTGTGACCACTTTTTTTTTTGCTCTGGTGATTTTTTTTTTAGATTTATTGTTTGTTAATGTTGTTACTTGTACATATGTAGCTATCGTAACGATATCTGTTAAATGACAAGTCTGACATCATGTTCTTTTATTGAATCTAGTCAGATTTAAACAGTGTTTGTATTTCTATTATATTTTGTCTGTTTTCGTCATTAATTTGATTAAATGATTAATTCACTCACATAATTCTTGTGTATAACCATCAAAGTCTGTCCAGAGAAAGTCTGTCTGTAAGAAACTGTCTGTAAACAATTTTTCAAAATGCTACTGAAGCCTCGTTTAGCTACAGTTTTGGTCCGATTTCAATACATGTATAACTTGGCACACAAGTAGACAACACTGAGATACATAATTTTGTGCATCGGTTTTTGATTTCGATGTTTTGTTTTCGATTGTTTCTACCGTAGAAGTTACAAAATGATGACTTTAAATGAAACTTCATGCTGAATGAAAGTCTTGTTTTATTAACTTGTTTGTCAATAATTTATTTCGTTTAAGAAATTGCTCATATGTAGAATGCTCTTGCCTATCGAATCAACTGAGAGATAAACTCCGTATGTAGGTGATTAAAGTATATTGCTGCACACGTGAGGGAAATTGACAATTGAAAAGTTAAAGTCATCACGTTCATCATAAAGCTTGATTGTTTGATAACCATTAACGGCTCTTTCTAGTAAAATATCCAAATATTCAACAATGTGCCGTATCTTTTATTTCAAGCTCGACGAGACATATCGTATCGACAAGAAGAAAGAAAAACGAATGAGGATTGTTTTGTTATTTTTTACTAGATATGCAGGGAATGCATCGTCAACGTTCAAGGACACTACTTGCCCTAAAGAAAAAAAGGAACAAATAAACATTTCCCCTATTCTACTTGACCCTTAACATTGGAGTAAATCAAAGTACAGTGTATACAGATGATTTCTGTTGCCCATTATATTTTCTTTCCTTCACGTTTTTATCTATCATTTGCAGTAAGTAGCTGGTAGATATTTTTTTAATTGACTGACTTAAGTTCACTTATTAAAATCAGAAAGAATTCTAACAAGATAATTTTGCAAACAAGGTAAGTCAATTTATGACGTAAGCTTTAATATATTTTTTTTTACATTTTGACGGCGTTCAACGTTTGTGCCGTAATATAAAATGAAAACATTGACCGATTGATTTCTCCGTCGGTGTTATTGTTTTGAATACTGTATCTTTCCATAAAGCTTATTAGCAAAACACTTGTGTAACTCTAGGGTGATGATTTTTATATAGATGATACAGATATTGAACTCCGTGCAAGTTGAACGTCATAAGCGGAAATAACAATTTACGTGCACATCGGTTTTAAAATAAAAATATCAGTGAATTGAATAATGCAAATATTATAAGCACTATAAATTGTGTTTAAAATATACAATGACGTATCTAACATTCGATTTTGAATCGATTGTTTTGCATACACTGTTCAGCAATGAGACTACATTTTGCAAATAATAAAAAAAATAATACATGTAATGATAATAATAATTCAATGTTCATATAATATAGGAGAGTCTGTTTGTAGGTGACCAAAAACACCGTTTTAAATCATTATAGACTAATCTAAAATTGTTTATCATGGCATCTGCAGAAACTGTGTTGAATTATAACTAAATCTCTATATATAAGGTTTATAATTATTTTTATTAAAATAAAACATTACAAAGTACAAAAATATAAAAACAGGATTTCACAACGTAAAAAATGATTTATAAAAACAAGCACTAAAATGCGATTTGTTAGAGGACGAAGGTATATGACGTGACAACTTGAGTGATAAACTGGACAATGGTGTTGACAATTTCAGATAGTACGACATAATTACATGTATCTTCATACAAACGAAGCAATGATAAAACTAAACTGTCTTCCTGAAAATCGAAATCTGAAAAAAGTGATGAAAAAAATTACTTTTTTCATGAAGCAGTACATTCAAATGCTTCCTTTTAACCTCATATTTTTGTCGCCAGTTTTTATTCAAAAATCACTTCTTGTGTTCTATTATGAGTTTTATATCGGTGATTTATTGGTAAATCGTTAAGACCCGGGGCTTTCTGGAAGTAAAGTCTGAGCGCGATGTAGCAGACGAAAGTTGATTCGATTTCATGGTATGAAGTCTGTTTGCGAGTTTTCTTGCAAGTTTAGACACCCAATTTCCGCTTTTTACAATGTCGACATCAAGACCCTCTTCTTTCATCCATATTGTATCTTTTTGAAGATCGTATCCTTTAAGAAAACAAAGGAAATGTTGAATAAATATAATTTGATTAAAGTTTATGACAATTTTATTTACAAATGAATTCATTAAAGTAAAATTACTTCGTTACAATGGTTCAATGTACAGTGTCTCTTTTTTTCTCACAGTCAATGAATCTTACCTGCTTTTAATAATTTTTTCACCATTTTCACACATTTGAGGTCCATGCTTTCAATAATGATAAATAATGCGCTTTGACCCAAACAGTCCACCACATTGACGTCACTTCCGTGTTTTATAAGATACTGGGTAATATCAGTCCTTGAATCCTGTAGAGAAATTAGAAGGGCCGTTTTTCCTGTTGAATCTTTTTTGTTCAAATCAGCTCCTAAAATTAAAAAATTAAATTAAACAACTTATTATAAATTACTCGTAGAAAGAAAACAATTCATTACTTTCTAATTTTATGAAAATGATAATAATACAATTACTAAACACCTATGAATATTAGCTTTACCTGCTTTAACTAGGGTTTTCACCATATGGAAGTCATCCATAATCACAGCGATGATCAATGGTGTCTGTTGAAATTTATTTTCACGATTTATATCGCAATGTTCTAAAAATAAATGCAAAGAAATATATTAATTATATTATCACCATTTAGCATGTTTTCTTAGTCTTGTAACACTTCTTGGCTATTATTGACGTATATCGAATAAACAGACATTTTTTGTGTTTACATTCTATTGTTGACCGATTAATAGATTTCCCTGACCATAACATCGGGGGGGTGTCAAGGTAAATATTGTTAATGACCGTGTTTACCAATATGTATATATGTTTCTCCTACGTTCCTTTTTTCTTACAATACATAAAACGTATTTTATTGATTGCGGTCAGTTTTGTCCCAGATCGTTAAAAAAAAAAAAGAAGGAAGGGAAACATAATTAACGAATCAATATTTAATGACATATTAGGGTTAGAAATATTGTTAGATACAGGAGCCATGTATTATTGTACGTTATGAAAGAATTTTTTTATTTAAAGAAACTAGATTAGTATGTTAGCTATTTGTCTCATTTAACTGCAAAATTCCACTGTCTTGTAAACAAGATTGTCAAAATTCCTAGGTAGAGTGACAGATGAACAGGAGTTAAATCTGATGATATCCTATACACCTTCTATCGCAATGACGTTATAATACGTTTGTCTAGCCTCAATTACTCCATTAATGATGTTATATATGTTTTCATCATTGTTACAAATATAGCTTGTAAACACCTGCCCTCTGGGGGCCGTGAAGAGATGTCATCTTGTTTTTCATAAAAAATGAATTTTACGTAAAATGGTTCATTCCCGTTCAGTGTTAAATACATGTTATGTTTATCCCAAATGATTAATAAATCAAGAGCTTGCTAGCGTAAGAGAATTTACTACACAATATTACGTAAAATGCTTGAATTTTAAAGTAGCTTTATTACTAAATCTTATGCAATTTATGATTACCACCATATTAAAACCTAATTAGCATTATAAAAGCACGAAACATAATTACTCAATTTATTTCACACATCATCTGGGAAATTTCTTTAGCGTACAATGTAAAACTGAATTTGAATAACATTTTTACTACGATACACTATTTCGATATATTTGAGCGTTCTGTTTCACTTTTCTATAATGAAATATCAACTCAATTTACAATTTAATTCCCCTCCTTTAAATATATGTATATATAATATGCAACATAGTAACAGTGTATATTTGGTAATTGTTGGATTTGTTTTAAAGACAAACTCTGTTATATGCGCTTACCATCTTGAAGCAAAAGGTCCATCATTTCGTTGTTTCCATTCTCAATTACGATGTGTAACAGGGGGTTACCATCACAGTCACACGAATTAGGATCAATACCAGAGTCCAAGAGATCAACGAAGGTCTGGTAATCATTCTGGTAGATTGCATGAAGGATACCTAAACGCTCAGCAACACTGGAATGGTTAGAAACCACTTCTTCATCACTAAAAACATCGTCATCTGCATCTGAGTCTATGTCCAAAAAACTCCTCTCAAGCTCGAGACACTCAACACCAGATCTTCTCTGTTTTGAAGAGTTGTTTTCAAAGTCTTTACCCATCATAGTTAGTACCTGTGTGCTCTAATAAAAGATTAAGAAAGGTGAGAATCATTTATGAATGCAACAAGCAGAATTATCTAGATCCACAATGTATATGTACATGTAGTATATTACTGAAAAGACTTTCAGTCTCTTTGTTACCTTTTGAGAGGTTGAATGAAGTTTCCGAGAGCGTACGATATTCATATAGTGTAGGAGAAGAGACACGTGGTCTGTCAAGGTTTATTAATTTTGCGCCCAGCCCTCCCATGTGTTGCACTGGGAGCAAGTGAAGCGTGATTGGATGAGAGATTTCCACAGTGACCTTACTTGATTGACAAAATATTGACTACGTTTTCCGACCTGCCATGTCTTGACGAATCTTCTTACGTTTCTTTGGATAAAAAGCAAACATTTTTTTGTTTATTGACCGGAACAGCATTATGATATTTAATAAACAGGAACGTACATTTTACAGAATTTTTTATATGTGGTTAATTAATTCTTTGCTAGTCTATAGACCATATTTCAATCAACAAATCGTTGATAATTTATTTCGCAATTAGGAAACAAAAATTAATACAGAGGTTGGGCCTTTTCCTTTTATGTTGGTATCTCTACAAATATACAACCGAACTGTTCAACGATTCCTCTGTATATCAGATCATAGCAGATATATGTAGGCTTCATTCACAAATCTAGAATACGTATTGCAAAAATGTGAAACTAGTGTAATTCCATTCACAGAAAAAAATCCAATTAATTTATGAGTTCTTTATTGAAATAAAACAGAGGAAATTACGGATTAAAATGAATTTGAAGCTGCTAAGTTTATGAATACAGATTTCCAATAAGACAACTAGGGAATAGAAATAATCTAAGTCATAATCAGTGAATATGGAAATAAGTGGGGTAGGTAAAAAGCGAATTTAGATAATAAAATAAAGTTTGAAGAACCAAGACTTAGAATTACATGCAAGTAAGATTATCAATTGCCTGTATAATGTTTTACTTATTATTGATATTAATGTTTGAGTTTCTAGTTAACAAGACTATCATAAAGCAAAAATTAATTTTGGTCTTCTTGAATTCAACATTTTAGTACAGAACATCACTTATTCTTAAGACTTTTGAGGACTAGGGGATCTTGTATGCTTTTCCTCATATTATTTTTGCTTCATATTAACCATTTTTTGCTAATTGCTACTATAAATTCCGCATGCGATCATTAATATGCATTTCATGACTGTATAATTTCCTTATTTAAAAAAATGATAATTAAATTTTGAGAGTTGAAAATAAGTCTTTAGCATTAAACTGAGAATTTGGATTTTTAAAAGCAGAAAATAATGCAGGGTCAATTTTAAAAAAATAATAAATATTTGTTTCTTTTTTAAGGAATCGACTATATTGAAGGACTACCGTGATCGATCTTGAAGTCAACAGTATTAAATTAAATTGAATATTATGGATATGAATCTTTAAACGCAAAAATAGAATTAATTTTTATTAAGAATAATCAGTAAATTTTACAAAATCCTCTCTCTTGGTACAGATTTAATCAAAAGAGATACCTATCAAGTTTTGATATCGTATTTACGCCATTATAAACACCTTTTCACAATGTACAGTATCGAAAAAAAATCAAAATTTACACTCAAACCATCTGATCGAGTTGGTAAAGTATATATTCATCATTGTAATTGTTAAGTTTGTAAGACATGTAATTAATTCTTACTGTTAATTTTCCTTGTTTTTAACTAAGGAACCAATATTAATTAAAATCAATTTATTTTGGAAGCTGTATTTTTAATAACAGTATTCATGACGTATGACGATTAGGTCGAGTCGGATATCCCCTGAATTTCATTTGTGAACCCCCTTGTCAATACAACAGATAGTATATTAAGTGTTTAACTGTGTATTGCATTTATAAAATTTGACACGAGTCACTTATGCACAATGAACATTTTAGTGAAAAAGAAACGTTTCACAAAGAGAGCATTTATTAATCTCTATTTTGCCATGAATTAAGATGTGTGGCACTTATCATGAATGGTTTCTATATGTCACATGACACGTTTAAGAAAATCTAAAACGACGCAAATAACAAAAAATACATTATAGTTCAAATTCTGCACAGCTTTACAACGACAAAACTTTACATCGGTGCCATAGTGAATCGACGATATATCACGGACTAGACAGATTTCATCTTAGTGTCATTCAGAAAGGCAGACAATGCATACAATATAGTTATAAACTGATTTATTTCTTTTGAAAGCTCATTAAAAGATTTCATGTACTTTTGTTTTGTGGTGCTCTTTTTTTTCAAATGGAAGTGATGTCGGTTTTGTGGTGAGCTTTACGTAGACGAGTTTATTCAGTCTTTATACATTTTTCAGTGAAGAAGGGTAAACACTAATTGCAGTTTATTGTTCATGTTGTTAAAAAAAAAACTTTTGAAATGGTTTCAATTATTGAAGTTTCATCCTTTTTTACGGCGTATTTTGTTTCAGGAAACACAGAGCACATTCAAGCTTGAATATCTATACCAATTATATATTTTTTTCAATCACCAGCTCCATGTAAAACTTTTGTATATATATAAAAGAAGCCCAAAGGGCTTTATGGTGAATATTATATAGTACCAACCCGTATTTATATCCCCGAAGATATTTTAAAATTATACCTTATTACTCAGATTTATATTTGTAAATTATCCGTATTTTAGTTTAGCCTGATTATAATCTTTAACATGTAAATTCCTTTAAAAAACAATGTCACTTGTTTTTGAATTGTAAATATAAAGTCTGAAATAAGCAAGCTTGAGGTCTGTAAAGTACAAAGTAAAATGAACAAAAAGTTTTTCAAAAAAAATTGAAAAAATTCTTTTTGAAAGTTTAAATTGAAATTTATGAAATTTGATGCCAAAACTTTATAAAATTAGGCATGTAATAAATTCACTCACTTTTTGTGTTAACTATATTTGTAAAACAAGTGGCAGTCTTTAAAAAAGTTTAAATTGCAATTTATTTCAAAGACAAATAAGAAACAATAACCGTTTTGTTTTTATCTTTAAAAGAATTTAAATTTATTTAATATTTTGTCTTTACTGGTAATTTTTAGCTCTACTAGTCAGAGACCAAAACTTTATAAAATTAGGCATGTAAACAATAATGCTACTCCTCCTACAGTTTTGATCTGATTTCAATATCTAGATTCACATAATTCTGTGAATTATTTCCACATACTAAAAATAGAAATTTCTCATTATATCATTGTTCAATATAACTGGCACACATATACTAAGATACATAAAAAAAACGATGTTGGCGTTGTTACTAAAAATAGAAATTTCTGTGAAATTCTTTCAAAATGCTACTCCTCCTACAGTTTTGGTGATTTCAATATAAGCAAACAAATGTTGTTACATAATTCTGTGTATCGGTTTTTGTAAATATTGTTACTAAAAATAGAAATTTCTGTGAAATTCTTTCAAAATGCTACTCCTCCTACAGTTTTGGTCTGACTTCAATATAACTTGGCACACAAATAGACTACACTAAGATACATAATTCTGTGTATCGGTTTTTGATTTCAACGAACGGTGTTGGCATTGTTACTAAAAATAGAAATTTCTGTGAAATTCTTTCAAAAAAAATGCTACTCCTCCTACAAATTTAGTCTGATTTCAATATAACTTGGCACACAAGTAGACTACACTAAGATACATAATTCATGAACTAAAAATAGAAAGATATATACATAGATAAATAAGGAATAGAAACAATAACCGAGATCATGCTTAAGTTCTTAACCTTAAAATGGTACTGAGAAAAGTAGGTAAAGAATTTAAATTTATTTGATATTTTGTCTTAACTGTTAGATTTTCCTTATATTTTTGCTTCTGTGAAATTTATTAACATTAATTATTTCTTACTAATTGCTACCATAAATTCCGCATACGACGATTTAAATGCACTTTCTGACTGTACAATTTCCTTTAAAAAAAAAAGATAAATAGAATATGTAAATTGAAATTTAGTTCTTTGCAGTAATTTTGAGAATTTTATATCTTCATCCATTTTGTATTATTAGTGACTGGACTGGATTAGGGCTTTCATGCAAACTTCAAGTCATCAAAACAGAATACTGAAAAATCTATAACATTAACACTTTTATGAAAAGTTCACAAAAATATTTTTAAAGCAACAACAACAAAACAAAATAATGCAGGGACATTTTTTCTAATATATTCATGTACATGTATTTTTCATAATCATATGGTGGATCTTCTATTGAAGGACCTTGATCTCCGTGATCCTGAAGTCTAGATTAAAATCCAATAAAAAATTATCATATGGATGTACATGTACATATTTAAATGCAGCTACAAAACTAATTTTAATGAAAATAATCAACGAATCTTTAAAATTTCTTCCCCACAGACGAACTCGTTCTTTTTTAAATTAAACAAAAAACAAAAAACATAGTCAGTTTTCTTACCGGGTTTATGCTCTATAAACACGTGTGTTAAGAATTTTTGCAAAGTTGGAAAGTCAGAAAAAAACAATAAAAAACGATCGGATCGAGTAAATAAATATTGATTTAAATTAGAGTTTGGAATATATAAGTTGGGAAGCAGTATTCATGACGTAGGGCAATATTTGAAAAAATGTCGGATATTCCCCTGACTTTCTTGTGTAAACCCTATTTCAATAAAGCAGTAAGTATTAGTTTTTCAATGCATGTGTATTGGATTTATAATAAGGATTTGTGCCACTTGTCATCAATGGTTTCTACGAATGGCACGTGACATAACAAAATCCCACGACAAAAAAAAACAAATTACAAAAAGGGTATTATGGTTCAAAAATCTGCATGGCGATGTTTTACGGCGACAAAATTACACACCGGTGCCATAACATAACGAATCGACGATATACATCAAGAAATAGAAGGATTTTATCTTAAGTGCCATTCAAAAAGGCAAACAATGCTTAGTTATAAATTGATTTATTTCTTTTGAGCGTCCATTAAAAGATTTCATGTACTTTACTTACATTTGTGGTGCTCTTCCAAGTTTTTTTTTCAAATGGAAGTGATG